GCAAGTTGCTTCCGGTCAGACTGCCATGCTGTTGGTGCGGGCGCAGCTAGAAAGCAGACCCATCACAACAATCCAATCGCAGAGCATGCAAAGCTCAAAAAGCGCAAACGACGTGGATACTAGTAACTAGTATGCATTTAAGTTTATGCACACATAAGTTCATGTGTTATGATTCTGCCCCTCAGTAACAGGATATATTATGGTTGTTCTTACTGTCGCATGATAAGTATCACCCAGAACTATCATAAAGTCATAATGATAGTAACGATAACGATAACAGTGACAGTGATGAACATGATAATGATAACAGTGATAGTGAGAACAATGATAATGATAAACATGATGTTGACACCAATGATAATGACAACAGTGATAGTGATAACAATAATAATGATAACAGTGATAGTGATAACAATAATAATGATAACAGTGATATTGACACCGTCACTTTCGTTACCCCCCACCAGGTAAGCGCGGCAAGCGAGGCGAGGCTCGCAGCTCACCTGCATTGGCTGCTTTGAGTTGGCTTTCCCTCAGATTATAGTTACCAATGCTATCACTATTAGTATACTTCAATATATTATAGAAGTCAAGTTAAGAAGAAGCTGAAAAAAGTAGTCATAGGAGGTGGAGTAGTGGGAGATACAGCGCAAAACGGAAATCAGTACCAGACATTGACTTGAAGGAGCTGCAGTGGCAGCGTCCGAGGTATTGTTTCGTTTTGATGGTCATCAAGCGGCCGATTGTTGTAGTAGTGGTAGCAGCAGCGCCCGCAGCCTCAGCTGTCGCAATGGTAGTGATAGAAGTATCAGTTAGAACACAGAAAACGGCACAGCCAGCAAATGGTTAGAGCATGCATAACCCCAATGTAACCCCGTAGAGTCCATTTTACTTTCCATTATCCCAATATAACACCTTTATTATTACTATCCCCTATACCCCCAGTTTCCATATCATTTTCCACTTGATCCTCCATTATTGGGGGACTACCCCCAATATGACCCTTATATACCCTATTATAGTAGAATAAGAACTTCCTTTTCCCTTTTTCATTATCCCTATATAATCCCTGTATATCCCCTACATAACCCTAATATAACCCCTACAACCTCTATCTAACCCTTATAGAACCCCTATAACCGCTATATAACCCGTATAGAACCCCTATTGCACAGCAGCCTTCAGGTCGCAGCGCGCGACGAGCTCCTGGATATTCTCCACAAACATGGCTTGATCCGCGAGGCACCAGGGGCACGGCACTTTGGCCCCAGCCCTGCCCTAGTAGTAAGAATATAGTAATAGTACAGTAGCAATATAGTAATACTATAGCATTACCATAGTAATACTCTAATATTTGTGGATCAGAAACCCATCACTTCGCAGATTTGGGTGTGGTGCTTGGGAGGCCTTGAAGGTGCCAAGCCATGCCAGCGATAGTGTGTGTCTGGGCCAGCAGGTCATGCTTTGGTTGTAGTGGCAATGGTGTCCATGGCGGCGTCGGAAGTACTCAGTTCAAGACCTTTCAGCCATCTTGCAGTTCTAGAATTTGACCGAAGATTTCATAGCGCATTCTTGGCCTGCCTTCTGCTCGCCCTCGGCACGGTTGCCCTGTTAACCCTAGCAAAAAGCGCGGCCAGCAATGGCAGCTTCAGCTGTCAATATTATGACAATATTATTGCTATGTTGTTCCTGTACTATTACTATCTCATTACTACGTTATTACTGTGTTGTTACTAAATTTCATCGCTAACACGAAGCGACCTTGGCAAGTGTGGTTAAGGTGAGAGATGGCCTCCCCTCTTTCCACCCTGCCCCCTCCCTGCCAGATTGTTCCGTGTAGCCTCCAGCTAATCAGCCTTGAGGCCATGCAGCCCCTCTCCTCTCCCTGCCCCCCCCCCACTCCTCCCATTGTCTCACGCCACTCACATCTTGCGCGAGTTTCTGCCCCCCTCCCCTCCTCCCTCTCCTCCCCTCCTCCCTCTCCTCCCCTCCTCCCTCTCCTCCCCTCCTCCCTCTCCTCCCCTCCTCCCTCACCTCCCCCCCTCCCCCCTCCTTTCGTGGTTGGCGCTTCCCTTCTGTCATAAACTTGCCTACACAGCCTCGGCACGTTTGGAAGCATCCTGCCCATTTGGCTGTGAAGTGCAGCTCAGGATTCTCAAGGCACGGTGGGGCGTATATGCAAGTCCTGGACAGCTTTTAGCCTGACCAGTAAAAAATTAAAGCTTCAGATTGAGCTGGATTGATGGTAGTCCCCATAACAAGCCATGAGAATTGTCTGCTGCTGCCTTGGATCAGTTTCCAGAGGTGCCATGCAAGGGAGGTGCCTGGCTACATTGTCACAGGCTGTCACAGGGTTGTATGCATGAAGGGGTATGCTGTTCCCAATTTGCAAAGAATGTTCCACCAAGCCTCCGTGCAATTATGCAAACTGCAACCTGTCACGCAACAAATTTTCCAAGGAGACCTCCAAGCCCCTACGTAAGCTAAACATCTCACGGCAGTAGGCGCTCTCCCTGGCGCCGAACAAGTTTGAGAGCCTGCGGAATGCGGGCCTATCACTGTCAGAAGCGATGCGTGTCAGTGATCTGTGGCCTTGGCAGCATTGGGGCCTCTGGAGACGGGAGTGTAGATGTTTTTTGGGCCAGTCCGGAATTTGCTTTGGAAAAGGGCTTTCACTTCAATCTAACCCACAGAGCCTCAAGCAGGCTGACACACGAGGGCTGTGAGGACTCCTGCGCGAATGATGATAGGGGTTGAAGACAAAAGAAGTCATAACTTTCAATATACCTCTTGTGGCCACTCTCATGGCTACCGTTTTGTCAGCGCAGTTCCCCGATTGTTTTGCGCAATTGTCAGTAATAGTCATCCAGGCATGCTCACCAGAGATTTTCCGCTTCACAGCAAGCATTGACGGGGTCTTGGCAGCGAGGCTCGACGCGGCGCTGCAGGCGCCCTGCGAAGAGGAGGCAGCAGTGGTAATTTAATTGCATGTTTCTCAAAGCTGTTATCCCCTAACGTGCTACCACAACAAAAAGTGGGTGCCACAACCATAGGTGGCATGCGGTATGTGTGTGCACTAGTTAGACCCTTGGGCACTCTTCCTGAGGTTCGGCGGACAGTTGGCCGCAAGTCCCTCATGAGGGTCTGGCTGTCATCGCTCTGCTTCCTACAGCTCCTGATGATGCTCTGCTGCAGAATTACACCCCCCCCCTGCCATATCATTTGGCAAGCAAGGGTTCTGTGGGAGGAGTGTTGGATTTGGAGAGCCGATCCGAACCAGTCTCATGCTTACAGCTTGCGAATGGCCCCGGGGCTTTCTCAGTATGGAGGCTTCTTGCACATGGCGCGATGGGCCCCTTCCACGTTGATCAGGCTAGCCGGGCTGTAGCCTACGATTTGCCATGCTGCTGCAGGCATACAGAGCTAGGAACGTTAGTGGGCTCCAGTTTCAAGGTTTTTGGGCAGGTGTGTGAAGTCAAGTCAACATATTATACACAAGCAGAGGGGTTCTTTGAAATGCGCCATTACGCTTCGCAGCTGAGATGTGGCTTGATGGTCTACACCTTGGAGACTGCTGCAGGAGGCTGGAGCGAAGGCACTTGCTCGATCGCGATGTGGCTTGACAGGCAGAGAAGAAGGTCTCGGAAGGATTTTTGGCAAAGCAGTGATGGAGCTTTTGGGCAAGACCGTTGCTGTGAAGCTGCATGGTACTCTGTCTTTCCTATGTAGTCGAAACTTTCTTGCCAAACTAGCTACCTGCATCATCTCCACCCAATTAGTACCATAGGGTGCCGTGAGCTGCTCTCCAGATGCCCTGCCGACCCTCAAAGCTTGTTCCTCTTTCTCTTTTCAAAAAACACGCTCACCAACAGTCATCTTGTGCCCAACGACGTGCTATAGGCCTCGTAACACTGCCGAAAAGAGGGTCTGCGGCAGTTGAAGTCCGTACCCAGGTTTACGAACGTCACTTGCAGGGAGCAGACGTCCACGCGCTGCGCGGTGGACCTGGAGGTGTCTGGTTTAGGCTACATTCCGGGCGGAATCAGAAAGCCTGCTGCAAAAAAGGTTAGCATGTAGTACAAGCAAAGGCAGAATCCCAATGGGCACTGGGCATGGGTTTTGTATCGGACTCCATCCTTTTACAGGTCAACACGTCTGCCGCACGGTTGTTTTTGGCAGCCGTCGAAACTGTATCAACTCCCTGCATGCATCTAGCCGAAGTCTTGAACATCAAGGTACCAGTAAGATCAAGAGATGCCACATAAGAGCAGAGAGGAGAACTTCAGAAGCCTTGGCAGACTGAAGCCATCGTCCCTGTGGGTACTCACTTCCAACCATCTGCACCAAAAACGGGGTTGGCGGTTAGGGACCTTAGTAGCGGTTACTAACGGGAATCGAATGGAACATAACATGGAAAAAGAAATGGAAACCGGAATCGTCTTGGGTGCATATTCGGAGCGCAAAATGTCGTACAGAGGTTGCACAGCCAATCAAAGCCTCAACATGTCATGTAGCAGTCCGCACGGGCAAACCTGCGAAAACTTACATTTGGTTAGCTAGGAATGCAGGAGTGGATCCTTATAGTAGTTCCTATGGGCATCGCCCAAAAACCCCATGTGGAAGTTTTTACATAAAACGACCACGGCTGGCTCAAAAGACCTTCCGCGAAAGGTCGCGATGGTATATAACCGTTTGATAGTGGACGCAGGTCCGTGGCAGCTTGGACGGTCGCCTCAGGCCTGGTGGTTGTGGAGGGGGCTCCAAGGAACCCTAGGGCTACAGTGGCTATGTGTACTATAGTCTAAACTCCCAAAGAGGGGTCCTATAGGGGAGTATGGAGTATACAGGGGACTGCTATAAGGCATGTCAAGGGGGAGACTATGGCTCATGTAGGGATTTCAAGGGGATTCTGAGGAATTTCATCGGGAGGGCTAGTGAAAAAAGCGCGCATCCTCCTCGAGCGGCTGGCGCAAAAAGCCTTGCCCGTTACCAGCTGCCAGGTTCTACACCATGCAGAACTGGTTTGGAGCCCAGGGATCTGCATAGAAACATGTCGCAGTCTTACTATTGGCCTGACATTGCCGTACAGTGAATGTTGAGTTACTTCGCGGATGTACTTCGCATGTACTTGTCGTGCAGTTCTTCAGTGCCTCCTCGGAGTCTCGTCGCCCAATGTCAAGTTTGCGCTATGATGCGCTATGTACGTAGTCCTTTTGACCTGAGGTATCTTCCCGTCTCCTACAAGACCGAGATGGGGGGATCTAGCTATGCCACTTGGACTAAACAGAAACAGGCTGACCTCACAATTGCTTTCTGGCGAAGGGGAATGTTGCACAGTGTATCAGCGCACCTGTCATGGGTTGCGGTCGAGGCATTCTGTTGCATGATCGCTCAACGATGTTTCTTAGAGGATGCCCCGAAGTGCTCAGTGCTGGTTGTGGGACCCAGTTGTGGGAGTGTTTATCACTATTATTTCTACTCCTGTACTAGTGTGATTGCAATTACTAGAATTCCTATTGTTACTAGTATCACCTATGTCACTAGTAGTACCTGTGTTGCCATTCTTACTGTCAAAAGTTGCCTTGTCGAGGCTTCATACCTTGGTGACAGGCTGTGCCTTGGCCAACAAGCAACGTCCTGTAGCTCTGAGTGTCACCCGGATCTCTGTTTCTAGATGTATAAGCCGCAAACCCATGCTGAATCGATGGGCTGAAGCACAATATGGGCGGTGGCAATTACCTGTTGCTACGGCGCTTGCGATTAATTAATCCGCGCCATAAAGCAGCAGCGCACTTTCAGAAGCCACGGGCTGTCCATGCGGTATGGATGACGACAGTGGATTCCTTCGTTCGATTCAATCCGCAACATACAAGGACAGGGTGCGACAGACCGTTCTGCAAGTAGTCTACAGCGCGAGAGCTGCTAATTTGTGTCCTGTCGCTCAAATTCTACATGGGATTTTGTCACCTAGCTCCAAACGACTTATGCTCCAACAGTTATAGTTGAGAACCGCAGCATGGGCCCGGGGCTTTCAGGCCATTTGTTGCTCAATGCCTTGACCCCAAACTTACGTACTGATGAGACCTTGTAATTAGCTTCCAGATGTCGTGTGCCGAGTTGCTCAGCTCAGGAAGTGCTGCAATGAGCGAGAGGGCAGCCTGCTTGCAAGCAGTTGTTGTGCATCTTCCAAAGGCCTAACGGTTAGACCGCGTCCATTTCTGACCATGCGGCTAGGCATTTGTGCAAAGTGCCAAACTAGCAGCCCGAACCACAAACGTCGGCCAGTCGTGGCCAAGGCCTGGGCCCCTCCCTGTCGTTTTTCCAACATGTTTAAAGATTTCACGAGGCGCCACCCAAGTCTGTGCTGCCTGGTGTTTACATGCGCTTTTTTTGGGCCAGGATTTTTAGACGACGAATTCAAAAGTTGGAGCCTTTGGCCTCAGTTACGTGCATGTTCCCTTTCGGTGAGGTGTGGCGGCCGGGCAGGTGGGTGGCTGCTGCAGTCTAATGGAGCCGACCACAGAGGCAGGGCTTTCAAGTTCAGATTTGGGGTGTGTTGAGGGCTTGCAGCTCAGGATTGAGGCTTATTTGGGTTGGGGACCGTTCATTCTGCGCCGTGCCTACATGTCTCCCCCCCTCTAGCTGGCCTTTCTTACGTCGAGTGCGCTCAGCAGCAGATGCCTCGCAATTCTTGTCCTTGCTCAGATCTTCTGCGACAATTTGCAGCTTCTGGGTCTCACAGCCTACGACGGTCGCCAGACGAAGGGCAATTTACCAATTTACCGGCTTCGCACAGGTTCAACTTTCAAGATGCTTTGGTGCTATGGTAGGCTAGGATTCTTGCAGCTGCATCAACAAAAAAGAACTAGGACATTTTATTCATTATGCGTTTGCAGGCACGTTCCCATTTTTGCCGGGTCGAGGATTACCGCCTTAGGGGCAGTTGGAATAATTGGCATAGCTACTTGAGAAGCATGGTTCTTGGTCAGGGCCTCGCCTTGATGTGCAAGAGCAGGTTGCAAGAGGCGGGTGGTGCTTCCTAGTGCCTTCAAAAACCTCCTAAGTTTTGGAGGTTCCAGGGATGCAGGTGCTTCCCCATCTGCAAGTGGACACCCGGCCCCAGAGTATCTCGTGGAAGCTTTCTTGTGCTTGTCCTCCTTGAGATGTGTTTTTCGTGCGTGCAGCCCCAGGGAGGGTCCTTTGAAGCCGAGCCAGTTGAGCACAATGTCCCCAAGCCCCAACCCATCGAATCTAATGACTCAGGTACTCCCTGTCCAGCCAACAACTGGAACTGTCTGTACCTGTGCCTGGGTGAGATTACTTGAATTAGACCAGTATATACCAGTATTGTTATCGCATAGGCCCAGCCTTGCCGCGCGTGTATTCTGACCCCGCAATACCCCGCAGAATAAATTTATCGTTCGTCTTGATGCTGCTGCTCCGCTGCCGCCACTGCCGCGCCCGCCCCTGCCACTAGCCCAACTCCCACCACACCGCCAACGCTGCCCACCGCCAGCCACTTGAACCTCTGCCGAGTGCGCGTTGTGTGTAGGGCATGGCGGGCTGAGCAGCTTTCTCGCACGAAAAAAGAGCAAGAGAATTGTGCTGATGATGCTGGCCCAAAATTTCTTGCCCAAAACCCTCCGTAGCGTGGGGGGAAGCCTCAAAAACGCAGCCCAAAATCACCTTAATTTGTGACGCCTCTTTCCTTGGCTTTAGCTAAACATGGGGTCCCAATTGTGCTGATGATGTTTCTGTACGACGCGCGCGCGGGCCTCGTATAGAAACATCATCGGCACAATTGGGACCCCATTTTGGCTTGATTAGGACCAGGAGAGGTCAAAAACCAATGACAGGCCATCAAAGACGACTTTGAACATGGTTCTCTGCGCAGGCTGGCCATGTTTTTGCCCACACGTGTATGTTTTGCAAATCAGAAGCATCATTTTAGAACGTATTTGCTAAGCTGAAGTGATGCAAAATCCTAGCTTGAGGGCCACGAAAGTGCTGGAAATATGGGCAAAACGCACCAAAACCTATGCAACATGCACAAGTTATAGGGTTTGGCCTGGGCAACGCACGCCAGTGCTTGTCATACAGTGCAGATCCTAGTTTACAGCCACAAACACTGCCCGCAGCGTGTATTTGGAGCGTTTTTTCAGGTTCCTAGCGCATTTTTTAAGCGCCCTGCAGCCCCCAAGAGCCAGCATCATGAGCATCATGGCCCCTGTTTGGGCC